CAAGTCCATATAATACGCACAGTGCTCAGCATAAATGAGTACACCCCTTTTGAAAAGTAATATTTTAATCAATATTTCAATGAACTAAAGCATGATTTCCAAAATGTTTACAAAATTGAGTTTTATAGATCATTTGTTTAGCTCGTTACCTGAAAAGTAAGGTTAATAATATAACTTGGATTACAAAATGTTCAGTTTTACTCAAAATTAGTTGATGCAAAAATGAACTATATTGAACCCTACAGACTAACAGCTTCAACTCTTCTGGGAAGGCTGTCCACAAGGTTTAGGAGTGTGTCTATGGGAATGTTTGACCATTCTTCCAGAAACACAATTGAGAGGTCAGGCACCGATTTGTGAGGCCTGGCTTACAGTCTAATTCATCCCAAAGGCATTTTTTGGGTCGAGGTCAGGACTCTGTGCAAGCCAGTCAAGTTCCTCCACCCCAAACTCGCTCATCCATGTCTTTAGAGACCTTGCTTTGTGCACTGGTGCGCAGTCATGTTGGAACAGGAAGGGGCCATCCCCAAACTGTTCCCACAAAGCTGGGAGCATGAAATTGTCCAAAATGTCTTGGTATGCTAGGGTCCAGTGGTGGTGTGCTTTACGCCACGGCATCCGACACTTTGCATTGCACTAGGTGATGTAAGGCTTGGATGCAGCTGCTCAGCCATAGAAACCCATTACATAAAGTTCTCTATGCACTGTTGTGCTAATCTGAAGGCCACAACAAGCTTGGAGGTCTGTAGCTATTGACTCTGCAGACAGTTGGTGACTTTTGCACACTGTGCCCATCAGCAGGTGCTGATCCCACTGTCATTTTACATGGCCTACCACTTTGTGGCTGAGTTGCTGTTGTTCCCAGTTGCTTCCAATTTTCTATAAATACCACTAACAGTTGACCATAGAATATTTAGTTGCAAGGAAATTTCACGGATGGACTTATTGCACAGGTGGCAACCTATCACAGTACCACGCTGAATTCACTGAGCTCCTGAGAGCGACCCATTCTTTCACAAATGTTTGTAGAAGCAGTCTGCATGCCTAGGTGCTTGATTTTATACACCTGTGGCCACGGAGGTGATTGGAACACCTGAATCAAATGATTTGGAGGGGAGTCCCAATACTATTGTCAATATAGTGTATATGACCGTCATCTTGTAAAAGGATCTGGTATAGATGAATGGAATACCCGGCTACTTTGTTTCAAACAGAAACAAGTGGCAAGAAGCTGTCACGTTGGCACAATTTAAACAGACCTTTTTTTTTGTAAATCTCAGTGTTGCTGTACAGATCACACAGATACACCACTTCACAGGCAGGGTCAGGGTATTCTCCAGGCATGTTATCTGGCATTTTTAACCACTTCCTATCCAGCACATGTATATAAATAGCCGGACAGGGGCAGATTGCCGTTCATAAATGTTGCCCGCCATTTTGGACTGCGCGCGCGCGGCACCGATCGTTGTACGGGACCTCTGTGTGAAGTCCTGATCATGCGATCACTGATTGGCCAATCAGTGATCACATGAATAGTAGTAAGCAAGATGTCACTTCTGACATTGCTTACTACGTGTGAAATCAGTGAATGATCACAGAGGTCACATGGTACAAGACTATTCACAACAGCCTTGTACCATGTGACAAGCTGTGACCAATCACAGCTCACACAGTATTTCTCAATGGTTGCAAGAAAGCAGCCAGAGAGGAGAAATGATTGCTTTTACAACCTTTATGGGTGTAAAAGCAATCAGTGTTAAAAAAATAAATAATCACCCCCCACAAGTAGTACAGTGTCACTATGGTGACAGTATGTTAAAAAAAAAATATAAAAAAAAATAAAAAAATGTAAAAAAAAATTTCAAATTATAAATTTTTGGTTATAAACTAATTTGGGTTATTTTTTTTTTTACTAAAAAGATAACTGAATACATTTTGGCCAAGACTTATGAAGAAAGATTGTTTATTTGCAAAATTTTAAGAAAAACGCTTTCAAAATGTTTGGACTTTATTTATATAGCAAAGAAAAAAAAAAAAAAATCCCAGTGGTGAATAAATACCACCAAAATAAAGTTTTATCTGTCTAAAAAAAAAAAATGCTAAAAAACTCATATGGGTACATTGTTGCATGACTGTGCAATTGTCAAAGTGTGACGGTGCTGAAACCTGAAAATTGGCCTGGATAGGAAAGGGGTAAACTCACTGCCAAACATAATTTTTTTCAATTGTTTGCATGTTTCCAGTAGTGTCCAGAGGGTTACATAAGTGGGTTTCAGTGGTATTGATGAGATGGTATGTAAAATGCTAATCAGCTTCTTTTTCATAAACTATCAAAATGCCAACAGTAACCCTTAAAAGGAGATGTGCACCTTTTGTAACAAGTTACATCCCAGGTGTGTGGAACTTTTTTTTAAAAAAACTACTTGTCCAGGGACTAAATCGGTGTCGCAATCTACTTGTCCCTCATGGCAATCTACTTGTCTTGATTAAAAAAAAAACAACACATTTGAACCAAAACCGTGCTTAAATCTAAGGTGCTTTTAGGAATGTCTGAGGCTTTTAAAATAAAAAAGGGGCTTTATGGCGACTTAAATGTGTACTAATTTTAACATTCCGCTGTTTATTTATCTCTCCTCCTCCCCCTCCCTGCCCGTCTCTCCAGCACCACACCCGGGGACTAGCAGGGAGAGACCTTGCAGTGTAATGAGCACCGATTGGGTATCAGGAAAAGGGAGTGTCTGGTTTATCCCTTTTGACGGTTTTTTTGTACACGTTTAAAAAAAAAATCATTTTAGGCCTGAAGATTACATAAAACTCCCAAACATTATATATTTTCAGAAAGCAGAGAATAAAATGCTGGTAGATCCAACATTTTTATGTCGCATGATATTACCGCAAAATTTCAGTAAAAAATACGAGTTCATTTTAGAGCCCAAAAAATAAATAATCAACCCCATTTTTTTTGTAAAATATAAAAGACGAGGTTGCATCGAGTAAATAGATATCCACCATGTCAAACCTTAAATTTGCGTGCACCTGTGAAATGGCGACGAACTTCAGTACCCTGTATTTTCTATAGGTGACACTTTTAAAGCGTACGTAGGAGGTCTCATGCTAGAATTATTGCTCTCATTCTGGCTTGTGCAGCGATATGTAACATGTGTACTGCAATTGATGTTTTCAAGCGTAGGCGCCCTAGCGTGTGCTTTTATGTTTGTACGTGCGTATATGTGGGGGGGGGGATGTTATGTGCTCAGGTGTAACTGATACTTTAGAAGAAAAACATTTTTTATTTTACTTAAATTCTTTTTTTTTTTTTTTTAATCACATAGGGGACATAGTCCCCCTATGTGATGATTTTTGGTGCCATGTTTTTTGAGACATCTAATGCAGTGCACATCGCACAGCGGGGGCTGGCACTGTTGCCGTTTGAAAGTTTCCACCTGACAGATGAGCCCCGGTGCTTGTCCGCAGCAGGGCTGAAGGATAAAAAAAAAAAAAAAAAAGACCTGCCCGGCGCCTGGAACTACCTGTTCTTGCACCCATATTCAGGGTGTAATGTAGCATGTTACTGATGCACCAGCCTACACACCCCCTCTCCCCCATTTTGACAGCAAGCAGGGGGATCTTCTCCCCCCCACTTCCTGTCACAATCTTAGAAAAAAAAAAAAAAAAAAAGACACTGCCTACCACAGCACTATTGAGCACTCTCGGTAATTTATGAATTCTTCCTGTCAGAGTGTACCTCCTTGCCTGTATCGAAGGTAAGAGCAAAAAGCTACACAGACAGTCTGAAGAACCATGGGCATTACACCCACGATCTGCCAATAATGGGTGCAATGCTTTACAGTCTCCTAACAAAAGATACATTTTCTTTTACCTGCATTTATCCTTTAAATGTAAAAGGTTTAGTGTTATCCTATTTGCTGTCAAAGTATATACACAACATTCAATAAATGGATTATATTTTCATTGCACAGGACAATGGTCTATAATTTCTTCTACAATACATCCTTCGTGGAAAGGCATGACAATGACATACTGTGGAGATGCTTTTGAAGCAACCTTCCAACACAGCAATGACTCTAAAACGCACAGCCAAGCCCTCACCTTGTAAAACAACACATTCAGTTTAAAACAGAAATTAAAGGCAAGACATTTGTGCACAGATATTTAAGGGGAAAAAAAATTTTTTTTTGTAAATAAGTGATCACAGTCCGGTCTGTTCTCAGATGCATAAGGAGCTCAGGGAAGAGAAACAGCATCAAACAGAGCTTCCCAGTGAATGGCTGTGCAGTTTGATCATTGGAGGAGAGCACAGTGAGTTCCCAGCACAGCTAGAGAAGTGACCACTGTGTGTTCCCATGCAATGTGTGATCGGTTTTTGAAAAGCAGAGGAACTGTTCAGGAACACCAAGGGTTTCACAAAAAGGCCCCTTTCACATGGGGCAGACCCATCAGCGGATCAGCTTGCCCAGCGGGGGATCTACCCATTGGAACCCCACTGAGCAAGCTTATGGAGAGCAGACACGGACACTGCCCAGTGTCCTTTACGGGCTATCGGATGGAAACAAATCAATTGTCCGTTTTCACCCGAATGTCATCCAATCCGCCAGACGGATTGGGGATCGGAAAGGAAAGCAAAATGAGAACAGGATACTTTTTCATACAAGTACAGCAGGCACATGTCAGGTATATGAAATGTTGGGTTTACATATTCTTTAACTGCCTCCTGCCCACCATATAAGGAAACGGATGGGCAGTGGTGCTCTACTACTGGGATGTCGTCATAAGTCCCTAGGACACAGCAGATCACCAATCACTGTAAAGAGTCGATGACTTCAGCTCTGTCATGTGATCAGCTGTGTCCACTCATAGTTGATTGCATGTAAACACGGAAATGCCGGTTATCAGCAGTCCTCTCCTCGAGCTGACAGCACGTGAGGAGAGGAGAGTGGCATTCTTCAGAGGGGACATCTACACTGATCATTAATGCCCTAAGTGTAGCCCCATCAGTGCCACCTGTCAGTGCCCATCAATGCCACATACCAGTGCCCATCAGAGCTGCCTTTCAGAGCCGCCTGTGCAGTCCCATCTATGAGTGCTGCCTTTCAGTGCCCATCAGTGATGCCTGTCAAAGCCCATCAGTACCACCTACCACTGCCTCCTCCTCAGTGCCGCCTATCATTGCTTAACAGTGCCCATCACTGCAGCCTCATTAGCGCACATCAGTGAATGATAAAAATTACTTATTTACAAAATTTGTTAAACTAAGAAAAAAAACTTTTTTTTTTCCCCTTCAAAAAGTTTCAGGTTTGTTTTAGTTTGTTTAGCAAAAAAAAAAAAAAAAAAAACCCAGTGGTGATTAAATACCACCAAAAGAAAGCTCTGTATCAAACAAAATGATAATTTTGTTTGGGTACAGTGTTGCATGACCGCGCAACTGTCAAAGTGTGAAAGCTGAAAATTGGCCTGGGCAGGAAGGGGGTAAAAGTGCCCAGTAGGCAAGTGGTTAAAAAAAATTGAAAATCAGTACAGGCATTCAATATTTTGGGAATGTAGAAATAAACAATTAAAACGCTGCACGAGCCAGCAAGTGAGAAAAAAAACAATGTATCAGTGTGAGAATGCAATGTTAGGTCAGGAATGTAAATCTGTATGCACCAGAGGGAGATTGCTCTATGAATGAAGGCACACTAAAGGCTGGATTCAGATGTGTGGCTAGGAGATGGTAAAAGGAATAGGTTGAGCTGAGGTTTCACCACCCACCTAAACAATGGCATGTAGCCACTTAGCACTACCCACATGCCACAGCAAAAATTAAACCACATTTCACATTCAGCGAGCAGTACCACCAGGACCCATTTTAGGTGTATGGGGTAACAATGCAGCTCAAACGGTTTCGGTGCAGTTGGTAAACATTGCAAAATTGAAAAATTTAACTAATTCGTTGCATGCTTTTTAGTGATTTGACTACTGATGAGATAAACACCATGAGTTATTTTAGGGCAAAAATTCATGTGGTATTGAACTGACACCTCCATATCTTAGAATGGCTCAGTCAAAAGGTCAAACCTCAATCCAACTAAGAATCTGTGGCAAGACTTGACTGCTGTTACCAACAGACCCCAGACAACCTAACAGAGTCATTCAGCCACTAAGAATAAAAAAAGGCTGCAGAGACATACTCCAAAGGGCTGTAATTGCAACCACACATTGTTCTACCAAATAGTGCCTTGGGTATGGATGGCAGGTGGGTAGGCGGAGAGACCAACTGGAATTTAAAGCCCACTTCGGTGCTGAGGGCAGTCATGGGATTTGGGGATGTTTACAGTACATACCCTCCCAACCACAAGTTCAAAGAAGTAGCATTTAATGTTGAACTTCACTCGCTCAATCAACATTGACCATTTTGAATCCTTATGCTGCTAGCCTTAGTAAACAGATAGGAAAGTATCAAATTTTTACTTGTTTTAAACTGTTTTTACATTTTAGTTATTTCCTAGTTTCAATGCCTAGGCAAATGATGTCATACATCCCAGGAATCTTCAGGAGGGGTTTACTCAGCTAAGCACACCCTCCTGCCTGCATGCCTTAGTTAAGTGCAGATGGATTCCAGGAAGTAATTGCTACATAAATCATCTGCCCTTACTCAAGATGGCCACAGTCAGAAATGCTAGGGTGTGTTTTTTTTTCGAAGTGATTTCTCAGCAAAATAAAGCATGGCGACATGGGTGGGGGAATTTGCTACGAATATTAAAAATGTAAATAGTGCTTTTGGTTTGTGGTGTTCAGATACAATGTAGGTCCACTTTAAGAATTTATTAAGTGACCCGGGGTTTAAAAAAAACAAAAAAAAAAACAAAACAGCACACCATGCTGCTATATGTTTGCAGGATGTACCTGAATATTTTGGTGGCAAAAATATGACAGTTTAATACTACTACAAATCCATTTTCGATTCAAGGTTTTAACCCTATGAAATGTGGGAAAGGGAGAGAGATGACTATTTACGCAAAGGCATAGTATTGTGGGACTTCATAGTAGTTACAGACAGAGCAATTCTGTCCTTAACCAGAAGCAAAACCAGACAATGAATCAACTGTCTCTGAAATACTATAATCTATGCTGCTCAAAGCAACCAAATTATAGCTGTGATTTTTCAGTTTAAAGAATGAATGAAAGGAAATAGGTTGCTATACGCAATGCCGAAAAGCACCCAGCAAATAAACAAAAAGCTGAAATAAGATGTAAAGATAAATTATGTCACCAATTCTTTACTGCTTGAGCAACACCTTACACACTTTCATAAAATCAAAAACATGACACATTTTAACCACCTCCCGCCCGCCATATAGTAATATGACGGACGCAAGGCGGTTCTCTCGTTCTGGGAGGACGTCATATGGCGTCCTTCCCATTCTAACCACGCATGCGCGGCTCCCGGTGCACGGCGATGCGCTATGTCCCTCGGACACAGCGGATCACCGATCTACGGAAAGAGCCGAAGAGGTCGGCTCGGTCATGTGATCAGCTGTGTCCAATCACAGCTGTTCACATGTAAACAGGGAAATAACGGTTACTCTCCTCACGCTGACAGCTCGTGAGGAGAGGAGAGCCAGTAATCGGCATTCCTCGGAGGGGACATGTACACAGATCAGAGCACTGATGGTCAGTGTGCCCTGATGATCTGTGTAGCCCCAGCAGCGCCCCCTGTCAGTGTCCATCAGTGCCAGCTCTCAGTGCTCATCCATGCCACCCAGTGCCAGTGCCCAATTCAGTGCCCATCTGAGCTGCCTTTAGTGCCACAATATCAGTGCCCATCTGAGCTGCCTTTAGTGCCACCTATCAATGCCAGTCAGTGCCACCTATCAGTGATGCCTGTCAATGCCACCTACCAGTGCCTCCTCATCAGTGCCCATCAGTGCAGCCTATCAGTGCCCACCAGTGCAGCCTCATTAGCACACATCAGTGAAGGAGAAAAATCACTTTACAAAATTTTATAACAAAAACTAAGAAAAACCTTTTTTTTTTTCAAAATTTTCAGTGGTTTTTGGTTTAAGAAAAAATAAAAAACCCAGAGATGAATAAATACCACCAAAATAAAGCTCTGTCACAAAAAAATGATAAAAATTTCATATGGGTACAGTGTTGCATGACCGCGCAATTATCATTCAAAGTGCAACAGAGCTGGAAATTGGCCTGGGCAGGAAGGGGGTGACAGTGCCCTGTAGGCTAGTGGTTGAGTATTTCCTTGGTAATGTTACAAAAAACAAAACAAACAACAGCACAAACGGTTTTAGGAGTATTTAACAATACCCTAAAGTGTTTACCTGTCAAGTCATGATGGATAAGATCAGCAAAGTTTGGGTCATCTCCCCACCAAAATATCCAAAGCTCTCTACGTCCAGGGCGTTGATCTCGTCGCCATACGCTTAGCACATCAGCCTTCAGACATCGACTGAAACTGCTCAATATGGGATCCTCTTCTGTCACTGGAAAGAGGATTGGAGCAGAAGTGGGGCCTTGCCATACGTACTGCTTCCATTTGATCCCTGTTAGGTCAGCCTGGAAAATGAAATGAAATATTTATTAACATATAGTCAGAGCAAGAATACTAAACCATCCTCAAAAAGTACTGCACTTGCTTAAACTTGTAAACAGAATCCTGACAATTTGTGAAAATGCATTTGAACATTAAATCAACCTAATAGCTCAAGAATTTTGCAACACAGGATTTTATCTGCCAGCCGACCAATAAATAAACGTGTAAAATATTCCGCTTTATTTTTGGTTCCAATACCTAACATGTATATCTACTGGAGCCATGCCTAAGAAAGAAGAATCATAGTTTGTGTATAGGCCATGTCATTTAAGGTCCATTTTAGTTGCCTAATATTTGAAGATAAAGGTGGACAGCAAAAAATGTGTAGCTACAGCAACACCCATATTTACATATGATCGTCCCAGCTACTGAAGTATTGAAGCTGCCCTCCAGCTTTTAGTGGAGTTTAAATAGTTCATTTGCACCAAGCTGGTCAAAACTATTACCTTCACTATTAGAAGTGTGCACTGTATAAACTGTATATAGTGCCGGCTACTTACAGTATACAGCGCAGTATTTCCTTCTCACAGCGTCCCCTCTCACTTTCAGAACAAGATTGAGCTAGGCCGAGCAACGCACAGCCATTCACGAAGAGCTTTGTATGGTAAAGGCCCAGTTATACCAGAACACAGTGTGAGAAAAGCCCAGTTCATGCACGTTTCCCACACCACATTAGAATGCACTGCCCTAGTCATCTGCATGTGGGTGTCAATGTATGTAATGAAGCTGCAAATGCAGTTTAGCGGGCACCACAGTACCATAAGATTTGGTGTGGAGTGGTGCGTTTGTAATAGTGCAAGCACTACTATTTGTGTGGCTTGGTGCGTTTTTTCAGTCCATTTAAATAAACAGGCCATCAAAACGCACTGAATGGGAACTCATGCATTTCCCTGCAATTCCGGTGGGAAACAGCCCTCAAATTCAGAGCTTCTTCTGACTGGCTGAGATGGAAAAGCAGGTGGATGACATCATGATCGGAGAAGCAGGTGGATGACATCATGATCTCAGACACAGCCAGAGGGAGCTTTGTCCAACTCAATTTTGTTCCAATAGTAGGGGAGACGTTTCTGTGTAACTGCCAGAACATACTATGTAAACTGCAAGAAGCTGGGGCTACATGCAGTGTATACAACACACACATCTAGAAGTGGGGGCAATAGTTTGTTTGGACCAGCTTGGTGCACACAAACCATTTAGGGCCCGGTCACACCATGGTGCAGAGCCATGAGTTTTTCTGCATGCGTTCTGAAAGAGCACAACTAAATCAATTGTTCTCTATGTGCCCTGTTCACACCACAACACTTTTGTCACACGCAGTTTTTTTTCTGCACAGGAATCTGCAACTTATAAAACTCAATAAAATGCGCATGTAAACTGATGTCTTTGCACGTTTAATCTGCGCGTCAGTTTCCATCAGTTGTCATGCACGTATGGTGTGAACGAGCCCTTAGACATCACTAAAAGCTGAAGATCAACTTTACCATTTTTAAACTTTTTCTCCTAGGTAGAAATTAATCATTGCCATCAAGCAGTCGTCAACATAGTGCTGCCTACAAATCTTGTGTAATGAAAGAAAAAAAAAAAAAAAAAAAAAAAAACCATCATAGACACAGCTGGGTCTGCAAAATCCCAAATGACAGCAAGCAAAATTTCAACATTTTCACCAGACACTGTGGATACTTCAATAACCCAGACAATCACAAGGGAGCAAATTAGAGGAGGAAAAATAAATGAATAAAAAAAAAAAAAAAAAAAAAAAAAAAGATAGATGATTGAAACTCTCTTGCATTACAATACCACAATTTGCAACAAAGAGAACTAGACCACAAACATCAAGACTCCATTTGCACTTGCGCAACTGCAAAGCCGTGCGATTTCTGATGCAACTTTGATGTGACTTTGATCCAGAGAGTGTAAAATCGGATGAAAGTAGTACTTGCACCTTTTCAAAGTTTCTGCAACTAAGTCGCACAGATCTAAACAAGTATCATTGAAGAGAATGGGCTGCAACTTGCCATGCCACTATGATGTCCAAAGTCACAAGTATAAATGAAGCCTAAGAGCCCATTCAGACATGTGCATTGCAGTAACATACCCACAATGCACCCTACCCTCTATCATGCAACTTATATGGCACCGCAACACACACCTAGCCAGCTCACCTGTGTTGTAATGCATGGGCAGCCTTACCACAACGTAAAAGTTACTGCATAGTAAGGCAGTGGAAATGTCACCACACATTATAATCCGACCTCCACTCTTTGTACAATCAACTTTAAAATTGACCACAACTATGTAATATAAGGACCTATCTAAACAATCCATTCAGGCAGGCCCTTGAACTACATAGGCATTACTGCTATAGAGCGTTCCACAGTTTTACTTGAAGTTTTCAAGTGCCTGGCCCTTGCTCCCCTGCTGACCCATGCTGTAATTGGACTCAGCAAGAGTTTGGCAGCAGATTTCAGCCAATGATTACGATTGAAACTTGCTGATCAGCCGTGTCCAATCATGCACAGGGGTCTGTGCTTACAATCGCACAGAACTCTGTGTACACAGGAACAGTGAACTGGCTATTTCAGCTCCATGAAAAGCAGGGAGAAAAAAACAGCCAGATTAATTAGTAAAAACAGCACACATTGCACTTGTTAGGCATACAGTTAACCCCTTGATTGCATCCTAAATGTTACCTCCTTCCCAGGCAGTGTCATTAATATAATGTGTGTACAGTATTATCACTGATTGCTGTATTAGTGTCACTAGCAACATCAGTGTCAGTTAGCGACACTCTCAGCCACTGTCTTAGCACCAAATTGCCCGCAGTAGTATCACAGTCCCACTAAGACGCTGATCACCGCCATTACAGTATAGTGTCTATAACTGCATAAATAAAATCTAGCGCATATATATACATACACACACACACACATACATACATATATACACACACACACACACACACACACACACACACACACACACACACACACATGCACACATACACATATATATATACACACAAACCAATACACACACCATACAAATTCACACAAACCAATTAATTACAAATACTTTTTTATATATATACACCAAAAAAAAGGTAGCAGAATACATTTTGGCCTACATTTATGAAGATTCTTTTTTATTGCATATGTTGTATAACAGAAAGTAGAAAATATCTTTTTTCCCACAAATGTGTGGTCTTTTGTTTATAGAATTAAAAAAAAAACAGTGGTGATCAAATACCACCAAAAGAAAGTTAATTTGTGTGAAAAACGGATATAAATTTAATTTGTGTACAATGCAATTGCCAGTTAAAATAGAGCAGTGCTGAATAGCAACAAATGGACTGGTCATGAAGGGGGCAAAACCTTCTAGAGCTCAAGTGGTTAAGCATATCTGCAAAAAAAGAAGAAAAAGGGGGAGATGCATCTTGCTGCAAACTTTTTAAGCTACATCCAATCACAATTAAGGGTGGACAAATTAACAGGAAACTTGATAGACAATCATGGAAGCATCAGGCATTTAAGGAACCACTGAATAAGTGCACCCATTGACCAAAAAAACAAAACAAAAAGGGGGGTTCAAAACAAACACCTGGCTCCTTGAATTTATCCAACACTGCTCATTACCACCAATCTGCTGTCTGCTACTTGCCTGCTGTAATTACCATAAAATTAAATAGAATGAAATGCTAAACCTCAAGACACAAAAAAACAAAAAAAAAAAAAAAAACAGAAAGAAGTTTCTGAGGAGATAAAACACAAAATACAGTTACTACTTCTATAAAGAACGAGTGGCCTAGCTGGCAGAAGCACATTCCTGAGCTATAATTACTTGAAAGGCGACAATACAGAAATTTCAAGGTTTAACACTGATCACTTACTAACAGCTGGAATTCAGCCTCACTTTATCTTCCTTTACAGGGACAAAGAGGGGGGATGGGTGTAAATGTGTTCATTTCATTCATCACAACTAGGCTACAGAATGCCAGCATGCAAAGAAAAGGTTTGCAGAAACATCACAAGGTACAGTTTTCCAAGCTACACTAAAGCTGGAACTAGGAGATGGCTGGCATCAGAGATAATGAGGCCAGGCATGCATCTCTTGAGTGGCAGGATATCTGATCTTGAACCACTGATTTGGCTATGACACTTTATGGTGTGTTGTATATTGTGTTTTTTTTTTTTCATCAGTCATAACTAATCCCAGGAAGACCCACCTACTCGAATTCCCCAAATCAACTGCCCCACTTGTACAGTTCAGGTTTCATGCAATCAAAGATTGTGTGCTGCAGGCTGCTACAGCAGTTCCAATTTCAAGTGAAAAAAACCAAAACACCCTTGCTATATTACCTATTCTACAGTCTATGTAATAATATATGTTATATATAAAATGTCTGCACAACTATTCATCTTAGTAAGAATTAAATAGGGCATCAGAGCTAGATCAGTATTCAAAACTGTTAAAATTCAACTGTAATAAATCTCCGTCTTTAAAAGAAATGCAAGAGGAAAAACCAAAAACAAGATGAGCGAATGTGAAAATCTAAACAGCAACAGATTACAACATGAGGGGATTATCTGAGGACAGGGGGAAGCTGCAAGAGACAAAAGAAGATGAAAACATGGTGATGAAAGCACGCTGTTAGGAGAAGTCATACACGTTGTGATGCCAAACAGAATCGTGTAGGGAAAAAAATAGTAGGCAAAAAAAATTGGCAACTCAGCTAACAAAATTAAAAAAAAAATAAAAACAAACACAAAACACAGCCTATCCTAAAGTCAGGGCCAGGCCCAACATAAGAGCCATGAAAATGGCTGCTTCCTGCCTCCTCCTTCCCAGGCTCCACTCCCACAGAAAGAATAGGAAGGGCTGAATCCAGCCTGAGCACTGAAAACACAAGTAACCTTGGATCAGAGGAATTGGACACAGACAGTGCAAAATAAGGTCTGCTGAGGCCAGGCTCTGCGCTGAATAGAAAGTGCATTGCAAGAGCGTTCACTCAACCGCCTGACATTTACAAACAGGTCACGGCTTCTGGACAGACTCAATCAAGATGACATAACTGGCCTGCATGCATACATACATATATTTTATATACATGCACACACTTGCAGTTTATCAAACATTTGACTGTAGGCTCCCACGGGAAGGGCCCTCCAAACCCTCCTTTGCATGGAACTGGAGTATCCCTTTATTTTGTAAAGCACTGTGCTCACTGTTAGCCTAATATAAATCTTAGGCACATAATAAAAAAGGGGGGGGGGGGTTGATAAACCTCAAAATTGCAGGGAAATGTAGTAGGAGACTAAGGCTGACCATACACTATACAATCTGATTGTACAATCTAACCTAGCTCTGCCATCAACTATGTACTGAAAGGACCTTTCCTGAATTAAAACTGATTTTGTTTGTCCTCATATTACATAGTTTTGCCAACTCTAAAGAAAACTGTACAAACACTCAGAATGTATAGTGTCTGACCAGCTTAATATTTTGTACACATGACAAATTTTCAAAACAGAACAAACTCCAGCCTAGTCAAAGTAGACAGGCCACTTGTGTCACCATACACATGACAACCTGACCATACAATCAACTTTAGAGTTACCAACGGTTCCAGTCAGGTAGACCCATGCACTACAAAGTTGTTACTAGATCTAACTGGTGGTCATCCACTATATAGTCTGATTGTACAATCACCTATCGACTATGCAGTGCAAGTGCTTGCATGATGTGATACAAATTGAATGGACTGTTCAGATGTTCTTTTATTACATAGTTTAAGAGGAGATTGAACAACCAGATTGCATAGTGCGCTTTACAGGAGACTGAACAATCGGATTGCATAGTGCGCTTAAAAGGAGACTGAACAATCGGATTGCATAGTGCGCGTTACAGGAGACTGAACAATCGGATTGCATAGTGCGCGTTACAGGAGACTGAACAATCGGATTGCATAGTGCGCGTTACAGGAGACTGAACAATCGGATTGCATAGTGCGCGTTACAGGAGACTGAACAATCGGATTGCATAGTGCGCGTTACAGGAGACTGAACAATCGGATTGCATAGTGCGCACTTACAGGAGACTGAACAATCGGATTGCATAGTGCGCGTTACAGGAGACTGAACAATCGGATTGCATAGTGCGCTTACAGGAGACTGAACAATCGGATTGCATTGTGCGCGTCACAGGAGACTGAACAATCGGTTTGCATAGTTGCACTTACAGGCGTACAATCAAATTGCATAGCCGCACTTACAGGCGTACAATCAAATTGCATAGCCGTACTTACAGGCGTACAATCAAATTGCATAGCCGCACTTACAGGCGTACAATCAAATTGCATAGCCGCACTTACAGGCGTACAATCAAATTGCATAGCCGCACTTACAGGCGTACAATCAAATTGCATAGCCGCACTTACAGGCGTACAATCAGATTGCATAGCCGCACTTACAGCGTACAATCAAATTGCATAGCCGCACTTACAGGCGTACAATCAAATTGCATAGCCGCACTTACAGGCGTTACAATCAGATTGCATAGCCGCACTTACAGGCGTACAATCAGATTGCATAGCCGCACTTACAGGCGTACAATCAGATTGCATAGCCGCACTTACAACAAATCAGATTGCATAGCCGCACTTACAGGATATTGTACAATTACGCTGTATAGTTAGCTTAAAGGAGACTGAACAATCAGATTGCATAGTGTGTTATAAGGAGATGGAACAATCAGATTGCATAGTGCACTTACAGGTGTACAATCAGATTGGATAGCCAGCAGCTAAAATGAGATTGTATAGCTCACTTACGGGATATTGTACAATTACACTGTATAGCTAGCTTAAAGGAGATTGTACAATCAGAATATATAGTGTGCTTTAAACAAATTGTACAGCTAGCTTGCCAGAGATTGTACAACCAGACTGTATAGTGTGCTTAAAGGAGCATGTATAGCTAGCTTACAGGAGATTGTGCAATGTCTGGTAAGCACATAATATGATCTAACCAGAGATTGTACAATCAGATTGTAAAGCTAGCTTACCAGAAATTGCAGATTGTACAGTGCGCTTAAAGGAAAGTTGTACAGCAAGCTTACTAGAGACTGTACAATCAGATTGTATAGTGTGCATAAAGGAAATTGTACAGCTAGCTTAACAGAGATTGTATAGTGCGCTTAAAGGAAAGTTGTACAGCGAGCTTACCAGAGATTGTACAGATTGTATAGTGTGCATAAAGGAAAGTTGTACAGCGAGCTTTCCAGAGATTGTACAATCAAATTGTATAGTGTGCATAGAGGAAATTGTACAGCTAGCTTACCAGAGATTGTACAGTGCGCTTAAAGGAAAGTTGTACAGCGAGCTTACCAGAAGATTGTACAATCAGATTGTATAGTGTGCATAAAGGAAAGTTTATACAGCGAGCTTTCCAGAGATGTACAATGCGCTGTAAAGGAAATTGTACAATCAGATTGTATAGTGTGCTTAACAGCTAGCTTACACAGCAACTGTACCAAGATTGTATAGTGTGCATAAGGAAATTGTACAGCGAGTTTACCGTAGATTGTACGGATTGTATAATGCGCTTAAAGAAAATTGTACAGCGAGCTTACCAGACATTGCACAATCAGATTGTACTGCTAGCTTACCAGAAGTTGTACAATTACATTGTGAAGTTAGCTTACAGGACACTGTACAATCAGCAGGCAGAATCTAGAGCAGCTGTGTGTGGTAGCCAATAGGCTTCTAGCTTGAGCTTGCTCAGTGTGTCTTTGAACATGAAAGCTAGAAGTGGATTGGTTGCCAGTCTGAGGTTCCTATCTAGCAGGATTAGATGAAGATATTCATGTAAGAGGACTTTAGACAGGAGTATCAGGGAGAAGAGTGCGGTGTATTGGAGGCTGTGTATTGGAGGCTGTGTATTGGAGGCTGTGTTCCACACACATGCACACCAGTGCTGTTCCTGATCGTCCTTGGAAGTGCAGTGTTCCCCGATGATGTATACATGAGATCCATAGATATATGAGGCCGGCTGTGGCCATGAATGGGTGATCGGTGGCCATGGTCAGGCCCAGATCTGCTGCTAGACGTGTATGTGTGTGTCCTGTATACTCACCAGACAGAAGAGGTTGGAGTGGCAATCCTCCAGACTGGCCCCGTTCGGCACAAAGCATGAACTCATCCTCACAGGCAGGGAACACACGCCATTATCCCACCCCGAACAAGAAAGAGACACACACACAGGAGCCGCCGCGGGCACAGCTGTGAGCGCCCAGCCACCTCCTCCCCGGACACTACACCATCATCCTGCCGGCCGATCGATGGGAATGGCTGCACGTGTGATCGGTGGGGGGGGATCGTGCCCTTGTATGGAATGTCCGTGAAAACGGCGCAGTCGGGGCTTCACAGGCGCCGCTCTCCGGGCGATGTCTGCCTCGTCCCTCCCCCGCCGCTGGTCTCCCTGCTCGGGGCGCAGAGCATGGCGGGAACCGCCCGGACACCGGAGCGCTGAGAGGCCGCTGGGGCCTGCGAGCTGAGGGAGGCGGCCGACACAAAGGAAGAGCTCCGAGTCCTCGCTGAGCCAGACGCGGCCGGTCCCCGGCTGTTTGTCGGCTTCTTTTTCCTCACAGGTTCGCCATTTTCCTCTCCTCCTCCTCCCTGTGTCTCTCCGCTTCTGCGCACGCACCAACCACTGCTCCCCTCAGCTGGGGCCCGCTCTCCTGGCTCCTCTCTGCTTCCTCTCCGATCAGTCCCAGCGATAGGAGCCGATAACTGTTAATAATACGATCAATGTCGGGGCCAGCTTTCCCATTTGAATTTACAGATTCCTTTCTTTAATGGCGGCCGTGGTGGCTGCTCGGCCTCTCGCCGGCGATTGGTTAGGGCGGCGTCATGTGACTGGGAAGCGTCTTTGTCGATTGGCTGCTGTGGGCTGTAGACTGGAACTAAGCGAGTGGGGGGAGGTTTGGGATGGTAATGACAAGAGGATACCGGTAGGGGGCGAGGCTGTTGCTGGAGCTCCGCGCCGCTCGCTGGTGATACAGCGCTAATACAAGTCTGCAGCGCAGCCCAGCCTGGGAAGTTATTTTCAGCACATCACAGCCAGCTAAAGATAACTTCATTGTGCCTTCATCTACGGCTTGTACCTGCACCCAGGGGCGGCTCCTCCAATGCTGTACACAAGGGATCCCTCACTGCTCCGCACAGCCAACCACAACATTCCCCTAGAAAGACATTCTATTTTTAGCCTGCAAGTCAAATCACTGTCTGCACACCTGTGCTCCTACTGGGAGGATTCAATCCAGAGCTCTTAATGCTGGCCATAGACTGTTCAAAAATCGGCCAAAAAAAAATCAGCCGATATTTGCACTGTTAGTGGGTTAATTGGTCAGCCGTTTTTCGGGTTTTTTTGCACTTTGAGATTATCGGTCATGTTGGATAATTTGCAGCCGATTTGAACGATGGACCGATTTTCCCGGCAATGATGGCCAAATCGGCTGATCGTTTTAACAATAAAAAATCGGCGCATGACCAGTGACCTGCAAGGGACAGAAGTTATGGGGTGAACTTTATGATTTAGTCGGCCGATTTTTTAAACCGTTGGTGGTAAAGTCGGCCGAACGAACGACCGATTTTTCGTTGATCGTTCGAAAAATCGGCCGATGTTTGACCCGTCTATGGCCTGCATAAGGCTGGACATACACTATACATTTTCTGTTCAATTTCTGCCCAATTTCTTTTAGATTTACCCTCAACTATGTAGTGCAATTACTTGGATACAATTGAAAGTGTTGTTTAGGTTTGACCTCATATTGTATGGTTTTTGGTAAATCTACAGCAATTTTCTAAAGAAAATTGTATAGTGTATGGCCAGCCTAATGCCCCGTCCTGTACAGGGTCGAACTGACCATTTGGAAACTCGGGCACTGCCCGAGGGCCCGGGGTCAGTAGGGGGCCCCATGAGATGCCTCTGGTACCTTTTTCATAGGCTTTTTTGAGTTTGGGCAAGGACACAGTGGCCCCATGATCCCCTATTGCCCGGGGGCCCCATGAGTTGTCAGTCCACCCCTGGTCCCATACACACGATAAGAAAATCGTACAAAAAATTTTGCTGAACAAACTAATCGAGTGATTTTTTTTCTCTCGTTGATAAGCAGGATGTTTTAACCGATAACGATATTGTGAACGAAAAAATCCAGTTGAACAACAGTGAAAAATTTTGTCGTTTTGCATACGAACGATCGCTTTTCTATGCAGTGGTGTGGCAGTCGTCGTCGAAAAAAATCTATCAAGTGCTATCACGCGTGAGCGGGCAGCACAGTGGCTAAATGGTTAGCACTTCTGCCTGGCAGTACTAGGGTCGTTGGTTCGAATCCCAGCCACGGCACCACCTGCCTGGAGTTTGCATGCTCTCCCTGTGCCTGTGTGGGTTTGCTCCGGGTACTCCGGTTTCCTCCCACACTCCAAAGACATGCGGGTAGGTTAATTGGATCCTGTCTAAATTATCCCTAGTATGTGTATATATGAATGTAAGTTAGGGACTTTAGATTATATGCCCCTTGAGGGTTAGGGACTGATGTGAATGCACAATATATATGTAAAGTGCTGCATAAATTGACGGTGCCATACAAGTACCTGTAATAAATAATGAGCGGAAACAGAAGTTGACCCGGATGTTTATGTCCAAGCAATCTTCGTAAACACAAATGAAAATCCAAATATTAAAAGTAGATTGGCCTCATGAGATAATGAAACCAGAATTCTGCATATTATATTTTATGTGTCACTATTTATGTATATAGTTAGTGTAATAAACTATAATATACTCATTGCTGTTAATTGTTGTGTATATCGCTCATTCTGGCCGGAAGGGCGTGGCTACAAGGTCACAGGCACACTGCATCACTTCCACTTGTATGGAAGACGTCAACACTACGTATTGCCCGACAATTTATCTAGATTGGTTAATGTGGGCCACAATTTTGACCAACGAACATTTGACGCCTCTCGGATGACCGATCAGTCGATTTTCTAATTGTGTATTCCCATCCTTTAGGCTGGCCATACATTATACAATTTTATTGAGATTTTTGCTTTAGATTTACCAAAAACCATATAATATGAGGTCAAACCCAAATAACACTTTCAGTTGGATCCAATTAGGCAGGTCATTGCACTACACAGTTGAGGGTAAATCTAATGGAAATTGGGCAGAAAATTGTAAGAAAATAGTATAGTGTATGGCCAACCGAAGGCAGGGGTCTCCAAACTTTCTAAACAAAGGGCCAATTTACTGTCCTTCAAACTTCTGGGGGGCCGGACTATGGCCAGTGGCAGAAGAAAATGTCCTAGCATCAGTGGGAGTAAACAGTGCCCCATCATTGGTATTAGGAGGAGAATTAGTGCTCCATCAGTGTTATCAATAGGAAGAATAGTGTCCCCATCATTGGTATCAGTGGGAGGAATAGTGCCCCATCATTGGTATCAGTGGGAGGAATAGTGCCCCATCATTGGTATCAGTGGGAGGAATAGTGCCCCATCATTGGTGTCAGTGGGAGGAATAGTGCCCCATCATCATTGGTTGGTGGGAGGAATAGTGCCCCATCATTGGGAGGAATAGTGCCCATCATTGGTGTCAGTGGGAGGAATAGTGCTCCATCATTGGTGTCAGTGGGAGGAATAGTGCCCATATTGGTGTCAGTGGGAGGAATAGTGCTCCATCATTGGTGTGAGAGGGAGGAATAGTGCTCCATCATTGTGTGAGTGGGAGGAATAGTGCTCCATCATTGGTGTGAGTGGGAGGAATAGTGCTCCATCATTGGTGTGAGTGGGAGGAATAGTGCTCCATCATTGGTGTCAGTGGGAGGAATAGTGCTCCATCATTGGTGTGAGTGGGAGGAATAGTGCTCCATCATTGGTGTCAGTGGGAGGAATAGTGCTCCATCATTGGTAGTGAGTGGTGTGAGAGGAGGAATAGTGCTCCATCATTGGTGTGAGAGGGAGGAATAGTGGGATCATTGGTGTGAGTGGGAGGAATAGTGCTCCATCATTGGTGTGAGTGGGAGGAATAGTGCTCCATCATTGGTGTCAGTGGGAGGAATAGTGCAGTGGGAGGAATAGGTCCCATCATTGGTGTCAGTGGGAGGAATAGTGCTCCATTATTGGTGTCATTGGGAGGAATAGTGCCCCATCATTGGTGTCAGTGGGAGGAATAGTGCTCCATCAGTGCTGAGTCGGATGAATAGTGCCCCATCATTGGTGTGAGTGGGAGGAATTATGCCCCATTGTGGGTGTCAATGGAAGGAATAGTGTCCCATAATTGGTATAAACAGGAGGAATAGTGCCCCGTCACTGGTATCAATAGGAGGAATAGTGTCCTTTTGTCAGTGTCAGTGGCGGGAACTATGCCCCACTGTTACTAACAGCAGGGGGAATAATGCCTCGTCATTGGTATTAATAGGAGGATTAGTGTCCTTTTGTCAGTTCCAGTGGCGGGAACTATGTCCCACTGTTGCTGACAATGGGGGAATAATGCCTCCTCATTGGTATCAATAGGAGGAATAGTGTCCTTTTTTTCGGTGTCAGTGGCGGGAACTATGCCCCACTGTTACTGACAGCAGGGGGAATAATGCCTCGTCATTGGTATTAATAGGAGGATTAGTGTCCTTTTGTCAGTTCCAGTGGCGGGAACTATGTCCCCACTGTTGCTGACAATGGGGGAATAATGCCTCCTCACTGGTATCAATAGGAGGAATAGTGTCCTTTTTTTCGGTGTCAGTGGCGGGAACTATGCCCCACTTTTACTGACAGCAGGGGGAATAATGCCTCGTCATTGGTATTAATAGGAGGAATAGTGTCCTTTTGTCAGTGTCAGTGGCGGGAACTATGCCCCACTGTTGCTGACAGCGGGGGGAGAATAATGCCTCGTTATTGGTATCAATAGGAGGAATAATGTCCTTTTGTTGGTGTCAGTGGCGGGAACTATGCCCCACTGTTGCTGACAGCTGGGGGAATAATGCCTCATCATTGGTATCAATAGGAGGAATAGTGTCCTTTTGTCAGTGTCAGTGGCGGGAACTATGCCCCACTATTGCTGACAGTTGAGGGAATAATGCCCCAAGGGCCACATAAAAGCAAGCAAAGGGCCTTATCCAGTCCCCAGGCTACAGTTTGGGGACCACT